AGCCCCAGGGATTGGATAGACATAGAAAGATTGCATTCATCTGGGGAACATAAAGTAACAAAATAGGAGACTAACACCCAGGAATGGCTGAGATTAGTACCAGGAATTTTACTCCGTGGCTTGGAGGCAGCCACACATACTAGGGGAAAAGGGAGCTCAGATAGAGAAGGGAACACCAAATAAAGGGTGTTGGGAGGATCCTCCCAGAATGGGAGAATGGGAGAAGCATGCTGAAAGTAGACTATAGACCAAATATGATTGTCACCCATTGCCTCTTTTGCAATCCACAACACCAATAAGAGAGAGAGAACAAAAGGGAATGCCCTGACACAGAGGCAGGGTGGGATGGGGAATGGGGGGTGGGAGGGATACTGGGATCTGTGGTGGTGGGAAATGGGCACTGGTGGAGGGATGGGTATTTGATCATTGTATAATTGAAACCCAAGCACAAAAATTTGTAAGTCTACAACTGTACCTAATGATGTCTCACTAATAAAAATAAAAAAAATATTGTCTGTGAAAGGTACCCCATCAATAACAACGTCTAAATCATGGAGACTAATCAAAAACTAGTAATTTACTTCAGGTAAGTGAAAGATTTTTTTTATATCTGAAATAACAACAAATTAAATGAGAATCTGACAAATCTGCAGAGAATGTCTCAATGAATTGTGGGTTCCTCTATGAAAAATGGGAAAAAGTTACCTCATATTTCGCATTCCAGACATGCACAGGTTCACGCATCAGATAGAGATATCAGAGGAATCAGATAAAAGGGGCTATCCAAAGGGCAGTGCCAAGTAACAGTGCAGGAACTTCTTCAAATCTGATATCAGAGTGTGGGGAGATCCCTCATCACCAGCATCTTTATTATTCATTCTGGTTTCAATACCTGTGAATTCATGTTTAAGGACATCTTTGAGATTCGATATTCATTGCCTCTCAATGGGGGAGAAATATATCTGACAACTGAACTAAGACAGCAGTCTATGACAATTTCCCATGTAAGGATAATGTTTTATTTAGCTTAAAGTTTATTATTTAGTAGTTTCTTATTACCTGGTCAGCAAAATCACTGTAGGCTGCAGGAAAAAAATATCCAGTGTTCGTCAGTTTTGAATTATCGAAAATCGGTACAATTTTTCCACATGTTTATTCATATCAATGAGTGGTTTAGAAATGTCGTGGCTTATCCAAACACCATTTCTATTGTTACGTGCTATAAGTGAATTGAAAAATAAAGCATTTATAGAGGTACACCAAATGTGAAGGTGCACCATCTTTATGTATTTATGTAAGAATACCAGATAAGAACAAAGTCATTTTCCAAAACTTTCTTTAAAAATTATCTGTCAAAACAATTAAAGGGGAACAATAAGAGATGTTTTAATGTGACCAGGGTTATGGGCAATTATGAGACAAAATTGTCAATATTATGAGAAAATATTATAGTCATTTACTATATGTTAAAAAATTAGCTACAGTTGTGATTTTCTTGCACAAACACCTATTGCATCTCAAAACACCCCTTTACCTAGGGTGAGCTGAAGGTGAAGCTGTTTTGGTCCAAATCTCTCTTGGTCCTTTGGGCTTCAGGGAAAACTCAAGAATAGCATTCTGCTGCCACCTAGTGGATAAATTTCCATACCTGGGGCCTAAGCCTAATGGTAAAACATCCAGACCTGTTACTACAAAATGGAGCAAAGGGAAATCACCCGTGAAGGTGTCCAAAACATGATGGCCCAGTATGTATTACACATTTCTCGATTTCTTTTACAAGATATATGATACCAGTGCCTCTGCCATCCCCACTGTGCCAGGGAGGGGTCCTGCAGTTTATATCCCCAAGGAGGTTCTAGTTCAAGATGTCCACATGTAGATTTTGTGACTAAAATCTCCTGCCTTTCTCAGCTTCAGGATGGGCTACCTCCTCCCACTTCCCTATACTCCCAGAAGCCCTGGTAGTTACTCCTATGAAACAGCTCCAGTGCTTCCATGTAAGCTCTTCTACCGGCCTTGCTCTAGACACACATAAATGCATCTTGAAAGAGATAAAAAAGCTGCATTAAATCTTGGACCCGTGTATAGCTAAATAATCTGGGGTACACTGGAGGAAGACAGGTTAGCCCCGTACCTTTACAAACAGAAACTCTGGCATCTGCTTACTTTCAGAATCCAAAATCGTTGCCAGGCCCCCAGCTCAGGACTCCACTGTCTTGGGATGAACCTCACTAAGATATGCATGTGCTGAAAATTCAGGTATGTGGGTTTTGTAAATGAAATCTCCAGACTTTCTTGGAGTCAGGATGGGCTATCTCCTCCCTCCTTCCTGTACTTCTGGAAGTCCTGGCAATCATGTCCATACTCCAATGCTGCCACCAAAAGGCCCACTCTTGCCTTTTAACTTTCCAGATAAAATATTGAACTCCCCGAAAAACACGATACTTACTTAGTATTAGTATTAGCATTGCAAACCATAATGTACAAAATGAGAGAGAGAAAAAAAGAAGAAAAGTGCCTGCCATGGTGGCATGCTGGAGGATGGTGTTGGTGGGAGGGAAACTGAGGACTCTGGAGGTGGGAAATGTACAGTGGTGGAGGAATGGGTATTGGAACATTATATGACTGAAACACAATCATGAACAGTTTTGTAATGGTCTATCTCATTGAGACTCAATAAAATTTCAATATAGGCATATAAACTTTAAAAAGATTTTCTGAACCCACTCTTTCTTGCCCATGTCTTCTGTGCTCTTCTGCCTCTTGCTCCTTTCCTAATCTCAATAGAGGAACTTCAAGTTTACAGTCCAATGTGAACGCTCCAATGCAGACCAAAATCAAGAGACTCCTGAGCAACCAGTCATTCCAAGGCAGATGGTCTGGTTATCTCGTGAAAACTTGGTGCCTGATTCTACCTTGACTCCAATCCTGATTATGCAGATTGATTTGAATAAACGGAATGCAACATGAAAGGTCCAAACCTGATCCCCATTGGAAGATTTTAATCTGTGCACCCAGTCAAGGTCACATGTACCAGCCATCCTGTGTATCTTTATTGCCCATTTCTCTCTTACTCTTTGGGCCCTCACCCCTATGCTGAACATGGCAGACTCATTTCAACGCCAGAATCCAGAATGAGAGTTCCAAGCCAGCCTCAAAGCAAGAGACTCTCAGCTGTTTGACCGACCAAGTCAAGAGCAGAATTACTGGCCATCTTGTGTATCTTGTAGACATCTTGTCATGGGAATATCTGATCCTATATTGGAGAAAAAAGAATGGCCTTTTAAATGGCAACGTGCATTCTTGGGACTCCTATTCTATCTGGGTAGGAAATGTTTGTCCTGTCCAACATTCCAGCTCACCACCTTACTGAATTGTGGATACCCGATCCATAACGTAGACCCCACGGGAAGGGCTTTTTTTTGGAATTGGGTCTGACTCAGTCTGGTATTACGATGGGTTTCCCCAAACTTGATTCCTCCTTGAGATCTTGTCCCACAACTCACAATTTAGTGGATGCGTGATTCTCACTTAGTCGATGTAATTGTGGACTTAAAGATGTGGAGCTATGCACCCAGTGCCTTGTTGGTGTGAGTCTGTGGGGAAGGTGTTCTGTTGTCTAGGCTGCTATATCCATATTTTCTCAGTGGCAACCAATGACAAAATCATGTATCTGCCAAATTTTCCCAGCGCCACTTGTTGAAACGTCTTTCCTTGCTTTGCTTCCTATTTTGCTCCTTTATCAAAGATCAAATGATCATATCTTTGAGGGTCGATGTCAGGGTATTCAACTCAATTCCATCGGTCTGTGTGTCCATCTTTATTCCATTACCATGCTGTTTTAATTAATACAGATTTTTAGTACAGTTAAAGCTGGGGAAAGTGATGCCTCCCATTTTCTTTTTCCCAAAGATTGCTTTGGCTATTCGTGGGGGTTTATTATTCCATATGAATTTCAGGAGGGTTTGGTCTATTTCTTTGAAAAATGTCATGGGTATCCTTATAGGAACTGCATTGAATCTTTATAATGCTTTAGGGGAACATTGACATTCTTACAGTTATTTCTCTGTATCCATGAGCAGGGCATTTGTCTCCATTACTTTATATCCTCTTTTATTTCTTTTCTTGTTTTTTCAGCTTTTTTGGGTCATGCCCAGCAATGCACAGGAGTTACTCCTGTATCTGCACTCAGGATTACTCCTGGCAGTGTTTGGAGGACCATATGGGATGCTGGGAATCAAACCCAGGTTGGCTGCGTGCAAGGCAAACACCCTACCTGCTGTGCTATCGCTCCAGCCCCCCCTTTTATTCCTTGAAGTACAGTTTTGTAGTTACCTTAGACAGTTCCTTTACCATCTTAATTAAGCTGATTCATAGGTACTTGATTTTCTGAGACATAACTGTGAATGAGCTTGTGTTTTGAACACTATGTTCTTCTATTTCATTATTTGCATATGGGAAAGCTATGGGCATTTGAGTATTGGTTTTTGTAACCTGCTAGACCTCTTTAGACCTTTCTAATTCCATGCAGAAAAGGCAGATCAAAATGGGTTAAAGACCTCAACATCAGATCTGAATCCATAAGGTACCTGGAAGAAATCATAGGCAAAACTCTCCATGACATTGAACTGAAGGAACGTTAAAAAAAGAAACAGCCCTGACAATGTAAGTGGAAGCAAAGATAAATGGGACTAAATTAAACTAAAAATCTTCTGCATCTCAAAATAAACGGTGACTAAGATGCAAAGACAGCACACAAAATGGAAAAATTTATTTACCTAATACATATATGATACAGAGTTAATATCAATCAAAGAGATAAATAAGGTTTTGGTAGAACTTTAGAAGAAAAAACATCGAGTCTCATCAAAATCAGGCAAGAAGAAACGGACAGAAACTTACTTAAAGAAGAAATTCAAGTGATTAAAAGGCACATAAAATTTTTTCCTAGGGTCCCAGGGCTGGCCAGGGGAGGAGGGAGGCAGCCTGCACCGCCCGCCATGGCCGGTGGGGTGAGCCGGCTCTGGGGCCGTAGTCCAGCGAACCCCAGTGCTCCAGCGCCGCCGCTGCAGGGCACCTTCGCGGCGCGGGGAGGGCGATCTGGGCTCCCCGATGGAGCCGCGGCCACTAGTGTCCTGCCTGCCGGCGCCCATGGCGCGGCCCCGCAGCCGCCGCCCTCGCCGCCACTCCCGCTGCTACTGCTGCTGCTGCCGCCGCCGCCGCCGACCCGGGCCGGCCGCGCCTTTAGCCCCCTCCCGCGGCTGCGGGCGGGCCTCCCCTCCAACCCCCCCTCGTAGCCGGAGCCCCGCGCCAGGGGACAGCGAGGAAGGTCACAGCCGCAGGCGCCGCGGCGTCGCCAAAGATAGGGAACACGACCTCCTGCTGTGTGTCGTCCAGCCCCAAGCTCCTGAGGAATGCCCACTCGCGCCTGGAGTTCTACCGGCCCGACTAGGACCTGAGTCGCAAGGACACGGGCGGCAACCTGCAGCACATCAGCGGTGGAGAGAACATCGACAATTTGAACATAGAATTCAATCCTACAGATCATCCTGGGCGAGCACAATATTCCTCAGTAAATCTCAGACAGACGTGAGAGACAAACACCTCTTCGTTAACCATCATCCTCCAGGACAGATAGCAAGAAAATACAACTCCTGCTTCACTATTTTCCTAGATAACACAGTCAGTCAACCAAACCTCAAGTATAGAATTAAATGTGTAGCTCTTGCAATATATTATCACATCAAAAACAGAGATCCAGATGGAAGGATGCTCTTAGTTATACATATATATACATATATATATATTTTATTAGTGAAACACCATGAGGAACAGTTGTAGAGTTACAAGTTGTTGTGCTTGGGTTTCAGTTATACAATGATCGAGTACTCATCCCAACACCGGTGCCCATTCTCTACCCCCACCAATCCCAGTATCCCTCCCACCCCCCCATCCCCCATCCCACCCTGCCTCTGTGGCAGAGCACTCCCTTTTGTTCTATCTCTCCTTTTGGGTGCTGTGGTCTGCAGAAGAGACATTGGGTGGCAATCATGTTCAGTCCATAGATTACTTTCAGCAGGCATCTCCCATCCTGGGCAGATCTTCCCAGCACCCTTTATTTGGTGCTCCCTTTTTTATCTGAGCTGCCTTTACCCCTAGAGTGTGCGGCTGGCCTCTAAGCCATGGAGTGAACAACCTGGCATTTATCACAGCTGTTCTCGGGTGTTAGTCTCTTATTTTGTTACTTTATGTTACCCAGATGAATGCAATATTTCTATGTCTTTCCCTCTCTTTCTGACTCATTTCGCTTAACATGATACTTTCCATGTAGTACCACTTGTATGTAAATTTCATGACTTCATTTTTTCTAACTGCTACATGGTACTCCATTGTGTAGATGTACCAAAGTTTCTTTAACCAGTCACCTGTTCTCAGGCACTCAGGTTTTTTCCATATTCTAGCTATTGTAAACAGTGCTGCAATGAACAAACAAGTGCAGATGTCACTTCGACTATACTTTTTGTCCTCTCCGGGGTATATTCCCAGGAGTGGCATTGCTGGGTCAAATGGGATGGTTTAACATTCGGAAATCAATCAACATAATCCATCATATCAACAAAAGAAAAGATAAAAACCATATGATCATATCAATAGATGCAGAGAAAGCATTTGACAAGATCCAGCACCCCTTTATGATGAAAACCCTAGCCAAAATGGGGATAGAGGGGACTTTACTTAATATAGTTAAAGCCATCTTAGATATTTTTGATGAAAACCTTCACCCTTTTTTGAAATTGGAAGTGCCACCAGATTACGACAAACATAATCCAGAGCAGAAGCAGATTTACAGGTTTGTTCGGACACTGTTCAGTGCTGCTCAGCTGAAGGTTGAATGTTCCATTGTCACCCTGGTTTACCTTGAAAGATTCCTAACGTATGCAGAGATCGATATATATCCAGCCAATTGGAAGCAGATTGTTCTAGGGGCAATCTTGCTGGCCTCCAAAGTGTGGGATGACCAGACTGTGTGGAATGTGGATTACTGCCAGATGCTAAAAGACATCACGGTGGCAGACATGAATGAGCTAGAGCGACAGTTTCTTGAATTGCTCCAGTTCAACATCAATGTTCCTTCCAGTGTTTATGACAAGTATTACTTTGATCTTCGTTCTCTGGCAGAAGCAAACAACCTGAGCTATCCCTTGGAGCCCCTGAGCAGGAACAGGGCTCACAAGCTGGAGGCCATCTCTCATCTCTGTGAGGACAAGTACAAGGACCTGAGGAGACACATAAGGAAGTGGTCAGCAAGTGCTGACAATCTGACTCTGGCCTGGTGGTCCCCGGCTATCATCTCCTAACCTTGGTTGTCCCTGGGGGAGACCCCGCCATCCCTGTTTCTCCTTTAGTTCGAGAGAAGACAGACTCAGGGTGATTTGGTTTGTATTTTTGTGCTTTTCTTTCCCTTTCTTGAATTGTAGCTCCGTCGGGCTGCCAGGACCACTGCCTCAGGCCGTGCAATGAGACTCAGAGGGAAGCAGCCCCGCCCTTGAGAGAATGGTCTTGTGGAAACGCCTTCCCTGTCATCAAGAGCAACTCTGGCTTCCCGAGGGAGAAGCCAGGCCGATGAGGAAGAACAGGGAGCGGGCAGGGGCGTGGCGGCAGCGGAAAGCTAATGGTGGCCCACGAGATTGGATGCAATTAAAGACGAGAATGCCACAGTGTCAAAAACATTTTTTTTCTACACTTTCCTCCCTGCCCCAACAAGACCCGGAGTCGTCACCCACGAATGGCCTCTCTGGCTCCTGATCAAGCTGCTTAACGGACATGATCCCAGAGACTCAGAAACAAATCTCAGAACCCAGCGGCTTTTGGCAGTGATAAATCCAGTCCCCACAGTAGGTTATTGTGCCAGGCCACCCCAGGTGGGAATAGGTTTCGTGCCTTGGCCTGTTCCCCCTGGCGACTCAGTGGCCGCCATACTCCAGAGGTCATTGGACAGTCAGGTTTGGGCCCGCAGTGACAAGACACGTAGGGCCTCATGGGATGAGGGTGGAGCTGGTTCTTTCCTCCTCGCCCCATTGAGAACCCCGAGTCATCACCCACTAATGGCCTCAATGGCTCCTCATCAAGCTGCTTAATGGTCATGATCCAGAGACTCAGGAACAAATCTCGGAACACAGCAGGTCTTGGTAGAAATCCCTCCAGATTTAATTGTCAAAATTTTGGAATTCCAAAATCGCACGGCCACTACTGTGGCTGCGTGACATCATATGTTATTTATGACCAGCAATAGAAAACAAATTGTCTACGGTTGCATTTTCAGCAGATCTGACTGTTGGGGTAAAGTTCCAAATAATAATGGTGGGTCTGGGGTCGAAATATTGAATAAAATCAAAGTGGAGAGAGAGTAATGTGGAAATCATCTACCCCACAGGTAGGTGAAGGTTTGGAATGGGGGGTATACAGGGGGTTTTGGTGGTGGAAAATGGGCACTGGTGAAGGGACAGGTGTTTGATCATTGGATGACTGAGACTTAAACCCAAAAGCTTTGCAACTGCTCTCACGGTGATTCAATAAATAAATTTATAAAAAAGAAAAAAAAGCAAGGTGGATCCCATCTCTCGGCAACAAAGCTGAACGTCTCCGGGTACTCTCTCCTCATTCAACCAGGTACAGCCCGGCGCCCAGTGCCAGGGACCCTTTCCAGAGCCGCGACTGCATTAGCGGCCGCGAAATATTCTCCCACTACATATGCCATTAGGGCTGCGGGGATAGCACAGCAGGAGGGCATTTGCCTTGCATGCAACTAACATGGCCGACCTGAGTTCGATTCCTCCGCCCCTCTCGGAGAGCCTGGCAAGCTACCGAGAGTATCTCGCCCACAGGGCAGAGCCTGGCAAGCTCCCCGTGACGTATTTGATATGCCAAACACAGTAACAGCAAAGTCTCCAATGGAGACGTTACTGGGCCTGCTCGAGCAAATCGATGATCAACGGGAGGGCCTTTACATTTACCTTTACATATGCCATAGGAACCATAAGCTATCCTTTTAGATGGAACCTTCTCTAGGTTAGCTAAGCCACTAGAAACACAGTAGCCAATAACTCATAAGACTATCTCAACTCACACTGCATAGCAAGCAGAATAGTAACAGTGAACGTGAAGGGCTAAACCACACTGGTCACAATGGTAAAGCAATGCAAAAGCACACCAAACTTTCTTATTGAAGAGTCTAGCCCAGAAAATACCAACAGTACTGTAGTGTTAGACAACCTCTCTGACAAGGAATTCAGAAGAGAGCTACTTAGGATGCTTAGGGAACTGAAAGAAACAATGGAAAGCAATGCCAATAAAAGACAAGAGGATTTGAAGGCAGAAGTGAGGAAAATGCAATCGGAAATGCCAGACCTGAAAAACCTGGTAGGCGAATTGAAAAACTCAGTGGAAGGCCTCAGCAGCAGAGTAACAGCTGCTGAGAACAGAATCAGTGAGCTCGAAGATGAAGTTCAGAGACTCTCCAGAAAAGAACAAAAAATGGAAAAGAGACTCACAATTCGGGAACAGATGGCAAGAGAAGATCGTGATGAAGCCAAGAGGGGTAACAAAAGAATTATTGTAGTCCCAGAGGAACAGGAAGAAAACCTTGATGAAGGAGAAACTGTCAAAGACATCAGTGATACAACGTTTCCAGAGCTGAAGAAAACTTGTGACCACATTCAGGAGGCCTGAATGGTACCAGCTAGAAGAAATCCGAATAAAAGTACCCCAAGACACATCCTAATCAAAATGACCAAAACCTTAGACAGAGACAAAATTCTGAAAGCAACAAGATCGAAGAAAGAAATCTCTTACAAAGGAGCATCCTTAAAATTCATAGATGAATTTTCTGATGAAACCCTCATGGACCGAAAACAGTGGTGGGACATAGTGAAAAAACTCAATGAAATAAACGCCTCTCCAAAAATACTTTACCCAGCGAGACTCTCATTCATAATAGAAGGAACAGCACACAGTTTCACAGACAAACAACAGCTCAGGAACTTCATAGACTCAAAACCATGGTTACAAGAAAAACTAAATGGCCTACTTTAAGGCAAACAGGCCCCTCAAATACACCAAATTTCAACAGAGCAATGGGACAAAATCCCATAACAATAATTTCTCTCAGTTTCACCGGGCTAAACGCACCAATTAAAAGACACAGAATGGCAGGATGGATTAGAAAATTGAACGCAACATTCTGCTGCCTGCAAGAAACACACCTCAATAGTCAAAGCAAACACAGACTCAGAGTCAAAGGTTGGAAAACAATCCTACAAGCAAAGAGCTCCCATAACAAAGCTGGGGTAGACATCCTTATATAGGACCACATCGATTTCAGAGTGAAGAAGGTCATAAGAGACAGTGAAGTCCATTTCTTATTGATCAAAGGATCTGTACAGCAGGAAAAACTTACAATAATAAATGTATATGCACCTAATGAGAGACCAGCAAAGTACTTAAAACAACTACTCATAGATTTGGAAAAAGACATCAATAGCAACACAATACTAGTGGGAGGCTTCAACACCGCTTTGTCACCTCCTGATAGATCAACCAGACTCAAGCATAGAAAGGACATACTTCATCTGAGGGAAACAATGGAAGAAAGGGACTATATATATATATATATATATATATATATATATATATATATATGGCTGGAGCGATAGTACAGCAGTAGGGCGTTTGCCTGACAAGCGGCCAACATGGCCAACACGAGTTCGATTCCTCCGCCCCTCTTGGAGAGCCCGGCAAGATGCGAGAGTATCTCGCCCGCATGGCAGAGCCTGGCAAGCTACCCGTGATGTATTCGATATGCCAAACACAGTAACAACAAACTCTCCAATGGAGACATTATTTTGCCCACTCTAGCAAAGCGATGAACAATGGGAGGACAGTGGCTATATATATATATATATATATATATATATATATATATATATATATGACATTTCATCCTAAAAAAGCTGAATACACATTCATCTCAAGCGTACATGGGACTTTCTCCAAGATATACCACATGCTGAGCCACAAAACATGCCTCCATAAAATTAAGAAGATAGAGACTGTATCAACAATCTTCTCAGACCATAATGCGCTGAAATTAGAAGTAAATCACACACAAAAACAGAAAACTAAATCAAACACCTGGAAATTAAACAGTATGCTATTGAACAATGAGTGGCTTAGAAAGGAAATCAAAGAGGAAATGAAAACATTCCTAGAAATGAATGAAAATGAGGACACGAATTACCAAAACTTATGGGACACAGCAAAAGCTGTGTTAAGAGCAAAGTATATAGCTCTACAAGCATTCCTCAGGAAGGAGGAGCGAGTCCATATAAGTAACCTAACCTCACAGCTTAAGAGCTTGGAAAAGGACCAACAAAAGGAGCACAACCCGAACAGGAAAAAGGAAATAATAAAACTCAGAGCAGAGATTAATGAGATTAAAACCCAAAAAACAATCCGAAAGATCAATGAAATCAAGAGCTGGTTTTCTCGATAAGCCTCTAGCAAAACTCACAAAGAAAGGGAGAGAGAAAACCCTAATAAACCGAATCAGAAATAAAAAGGTGGTCATTACAACAGAAACTACAGAAATTGAAAGGATCCTCAGGGAGTACTTTGAGAAGCTTTATACCACGGAACATGGAAACCTCGAGGAAATGGATAAATTTCTAGACTCGTACAGACTCCCAAGGTTGAACCAAGAAGAACTGGAATACCTGAACAGACCTATCACAATCAAGGAAATTGAAATGGTAATAAAATGTCTCCCCAAGCACAAAAGTCCTGGCCCGGATGGATTCACTAGTGAATTCTTCCAAATCTTTAAAGAGGACTTACTCCAAATCCTCTTTAAGCTTTTCCACGAAATTGAAATATCAAAAACACTTCCGAACAGTGTCTATGAAGCAAATAACTCACTGATACCAAAAGCAAAAAGAGATACCGCAAAGAAAGAGAATTACAGGCCGATATCCCTGATGAACACAGAAACAAAGATCCTCAACAAACTACTAGCAAATAGAATCCAACTACTCATCAAAAAGATCATATACCATGACCAAGTAGGATTCATTCCAGGGATGCAAGGATGGTTTAACGTTCGGAAATCAATCAACATAATCCATCATATCAACAAAAGAAAAGATAAAAACCATATGATAATATCAATAGATGCAGAGAAAGCATTTGACAAGATCCAGCTCCAGTTTATAATGAAAACCCTCGGCAAAAAGGGTATAGACGGTACTTTCCTCAATATAGTTAAAGCCATCTATCACAAGCCTATAGCATGCATCAACCTCAATGGGGAAAAAATGAGACTTCAC